GTCAACAACGGCCGAACGGTACTTACGATAAACCCGACATAAACGTGAACAAATGGGGTGTAGCATTCAAATTCTTTTGAATTAGATTGACCAGATGGATGTAAGTTATGCAGTGCTTCACTCAGCATCCTAAGCTTCAACTANTAGGAGGATAAGAGGACCATTAACCTGGGAGTTATTGTTCAAAGTAACCGTCCTCAGTCTGTTTCTACGGTCTGACCCAAACTGGAATTCAAGCTAGCGCGCGACGTCTATTAGTCTGACCCACTCATAACAGACGCCCTCCAACAGACTTCGAATCTTCAATTTCGGTTTTCGCTTAACCTATTAAGGCATCTGTGAAGGACTATCAAAGATTTCCGTTCGCATTTTGTGTACTGATTTACTTGTAGTTGTTTCAGCTTCTGTGCTTGAAATCAAATATCAGAAACTGAGTGTTCAGTTTCACCCTATGGTGAACGAATATCGTTGACTCATCACACAGTTAATACCATTCCTCGCTTTCTAACCGTCTTCAAAACTCATCTGGATGAGCCAAACTTACTACACCTGTGGTTGATAATTCCTCACAGCGGTTATCCACCATACACGTAAATATTGGCCCAACCATATGGTTGAATACGAATATTCGCCACCTGCCATGCGCCATTTATACGTTACCAATATTTTCCGGACGATTCGGGGAATATATTTGACCGTCGTTCCATTTGGTGATTAGTTTTTCTAATGAAGAATATGTAAATCAGTCAGTGAGGAATAGACGAAGCCTCTTGGTCTATGCGGATTTTTGGTCTTGGGGCTGAAAGAATTTCCATAATAATCATAGTTCGCATGCGCACAACAAAGGCACTTATGACCATCGAGTAGTCTAGACTATTTGGCCAGCCCCTCTTTTAGTCGAACGACTAAAAGAGAATTTTGGACCATCGTCCGAAAATTTTGGCAGTTCAGGAAATCTGAATGGAATTCTTCGAGGCAAAACAAATGGATGGTCGTTCTCATCACGTGTAGACGTTATTTGACGGCAGACGTTTTAATTTTCAAAACGAAGCAGGCTCATCAATAGCAGACCTTTATCCCAACACCTACGTAGCGAAAAGTGACAGTCCTTTGTTTGAGGCAAACAAGTGATCAACTCTAAACCAATTGACTTACCTCTCTTATCTTAAGTGACAGTCCTTTGCTTGAAGCAAACAAGTGATCAACTGTAAACCAATTGACTGACCTCCTCTTATCTTACACGAATTATCCACATTCCAGAACACTTTTTGAAGAGACATCTGCATCACTTATTAGATGTAAATGTGTAGATTTCCGGCCACACACCGCCCTGACCTCGTTCTTGGACGTTCTCGGAATAACGGAAAAAGCGGTTTGTTTTATGTTTCTGTTTGCTTTATAACCAGAATGCAAACAGTGGGAAGCACGGAGATTGATACATAAAATCACACTATAACACAAAAAGCTAATATGGACTCAAATAAAGTTATTACCGTGTTTACACATACTCACAGTGAACAAAATCTCACCCAACCAGTGAATGACTATCAGTAACGTGACCTCAAACTAAGATACGTTTCCCATAGGAATTTCTCGGTCGTCAGGTGGCTCCTGAGTTGAAATTGGACTGTTCCGTGGTTGTTTACTTCCATAGTAATTGAATACGACTGGTCCACCGCCATTTGCAGAAAGCCCATCTATCCCCAGGAGAACGTTGCGCAAGGTCTCGCTCTTATTTATCGCCACCTCAATCAGCTGGCTCCTATTTGGTACGCTTATCGAGGGAGTAATAGATCTCCAGATAAATTTAAATACGTAACCGGTCCATTTCAAGCCCAGAAATCAAACCGATGGAAGTGTCATGCCTTCGAATATTTCTGGATGTATCACGTACTGATGCTGATGGCCACTGAGGCAAATTTGACTTCGCCGTTTGCACTCATATTTCCCTACGGGAAACTCTTCATCCAACCGCCGTTGTATTGGTCGACTGTTTTGCTCAAAGGAATATTGAGCTGACCTTCTTGAACAAAGTCTCAAAGATGGTGCGTGCTTTTAGCCCAAAGCAATACAAACGGCTTAAAATTTCGATACTCCATGTTTATTGGTGAAACCTGTTCAGGGTAGCCACCTTACCACGTAAATTAACCGATATCAGTAGTATAGAAAAACATGTTGGACGCCGGGTTTCACGAACAAAGTGGAAAGACGAAAGTGTGATGACGCATTTCACGGGTGAGAATTCAACCCATCTGTTAGCATCTGGGGTGAAGGAATATCAAAACCAAAGTGTCACCGCATAGAAAAAATGAATATCACTATCGGCGTTTTGAATTACCTTTAACTTTTAAGTTACTGAACGCATTGGAGTGTAATGAACCGTTTTTCGATCGGATGAGCTTTGAAAGAGAGGGAAAACCAAGCCTCCGTATCTTTATAGCTGAGGATGTCTGTGCGCGCATTTTCTTACATTTTCCGGAGAAAGCAAGGCACAACAGTGGTTCTAGCAGATAACGAAGTTATTTGACGGTTGCGCTTACCTGGTGAGCCCCAAGAAGGGTGAAACCGGTCGTTGGCTGTTGAACAGTTTACAGCAACCTTATGAGTAGTGTGCTTTATGAAATTACACGACGACTGCTTTGTAGTGAGAGTTTGTTTACTGGAATACTCACTTGAAAAATTGCCGCACTATTTCTTCCGTATGATTTGATGTAAAACATAGGCACGCCTCTTTCTAATGTACCAGTGTAAGACATTCTCAAACTGATATAATGAGTATAAGTCTGTTTCACATTCTAGTTCCATAACAATCAGAATTTAGGCACTGTGCCAATAAAACCCTATTGAAGAGATCATTTGATAGGACCTACATTCTCATCAATAGGCGTTCAGGTAACCAGATCAAATCTAGCCACAACCGGAGCTCAGTCACTCATTTTTACATAATGATATTTTGATTAACACCATCAAGCCTGAGCAGTTAGATAAGTATGTTTTGAATATCAAGAATATTAAATCCACGTGAACTCGGATAAAGAGAAGTTCCACTATTTCTACGAATCGATATTCGTCGACCTGGTTGGTAATCCGCAAACAACACGAGTAGTTTGAACTTGCAAAACCGATTGCTATTCCATGGTTGTGGTTATCTTATCTGATTCTCTGCTGACTGCTTTGTTGTTTAGCCCAGTTCTTATGGATGACGCAAATACATAAACGCACACACACAAGAACAGGTTTTCTGGGGCAACAAGTTCTGCGCATTTTGGTCATAATGCAACGGTCGAACGTCATGCATTATCACGTCCAACGATACAACTCACTTTTTTATGTGGCATGTATCAGCTGTCTGAACTACTGGGCGTCAGCTGTGTTTGACTTTGTAGACGATTTCCATCAAAATTCAGAGCAACTGTTTGCTTTCACAACCGAAAAAAAAGCTTCCGAACCAATGACGAACACAGTTACTGGCGGAACTTTACCATTCCCCAATAGCAAGGTCTATTCTGGACTGGGAAGGCGATCACCGGTGATGTTCCTTCTATGCTGGACATTTTGGCATTTCCTAATTGACGGTTCCACAGCACACGATGTGAGAGGCAGTACGGCAGAACGTTCAAGTTTGATATTACCGTTGACTGCTTTGAACATCTTATGGAGCTTCTAATGCAAATCTAACTTGCTGGAATAAGCTTTTTTGTACGTTTGGATTTTCTCATAAACAAGCTTTGAACTAACGCCACTCAATATACTCAAGGTTATTTTGAATACAGATCCAATCGTATATGGAATTAATAGAGAGAGAAACTCTTTGTGGAACTTTATCTTTTCGTTTTTACTGTACGTAGTTGGGCCCGTAATCAGGATTCTTGTCACTTCTACAGACCCAAAAGTTATCAAAATTACCACCTAACATTTGTGCCCTGTCCCTCTTCTAACAATTTTCCACATCCTCCTCTCGATTAGTAACGAATGGTAGTGTTGCACGAAGTATTTAAAAACCAGATGACGTCTGAAAAGGAACGAGACTGTATGCTTAACAGCGCCTGTCGTCGATTCTTAATTTTCTACAAGTGGTCTCGTCGGATGGGCCGATTTTGTCTCTCTGCGATGTACTAATTGCCATCCTAATGTGATTCATGCATTTTAAGATAAGTATATTTCCACTTCATCCGTTTACGGCAAGTTCTCAGGTCATGCTTCCGAGTACTGAAGGATCTTAGAAAGACAAAGAATAGTACGATGATGTACATATCCGTGTCAGAAGTGTACATACCCGGACTGCTCTTCCCTCATACCATGCCTTTGTGCGACCACCCAAATGCAGCTGAAATATTCGCGCAGCTTTTGAACAGTCCTGCTATGCTCCTGGCGCACTTTATCTTGTGGCGTCTGGACTGTTCACACAATGGTGATTACGAATTTCACCACCACCTGCATCTGAACTACTTGAGTTTCATCTTTGAAGCTTGAAAACAATACCTGAGTCATTAAGCCTCCAAACAACGGTGTGAAGATATTGCACAAAACGAACAAGTGCATCCGGTCCACTTTGTATATCATTCAAAACCTTTGTCAAAACTAGAGGATCAGGGCTGTCTTTGATGGGAGGAAGTAGAGTTTGAACGAAACACTTGAGGTCGATTTGGCGTATTGAATCAGTGTGTTTCACAGATAGGGGAATTTTCGGAGTCTAGTAATCTAGATGTCTGTCAGCTTGTGGAAGGTTGAATTAGATTTAAGCCGCCGTTTCACAGATAGGGGAATTTTCGGAGTCTAATAATCTAGATGTCTGTCAGCTGGTTGAATTAGATTTGAGCCGCCGTTTTTTAGTAAGTCGATCCTTACCCACATCATCCCATCCATTAACCCACTTTTACGATTTTTACTTTGATTCACTCACTTAGAAGACAGCGCTCATTCGTAGGGGATAACCGCTCCACAATTCTTATATGCCTAATTCAAACTAAACAATTTCCATTTTCCGTTTTCTTATGCAGCCTCGGCTCGCACGGCAACGCTAAAAGTGTGCAAAGCTGCTGAAAGCCGCACCTGAAGCCCACGTTTTCCAGGGATTTCATTACTCATCATAGGATGGCGTCGATTCTTTCCGTTCTGTTGACAGTAACAACGATAGTATTTGGTCACAGTCGAGTTACTGTGTCAGCGTGCATGCAGCTAACCGAAAATGAAAGACCAGTTCTATTCTGTCAGTCATCGGTGCCACAGCTACCTTTGGATAGTCAACAGATACCTCCAGATCTGGCAAAAGTTCGTATCCTGGGAATCAGTCAGTCCGGAACACCACACAACGGGCACTTAACTGCATTTAACCTAACCGGCCTCGAAACACTGACATATCTTGAAATCAGCAATTTTAACCTCGTACAGATCCATCCAGACACGTTCAAAGCCATGCGACAACTTCGAGTATTGGATCTGTCCCGAAATCGAATTACAATGATACAACCCGGTGCATTCAGTGGTCTTCATTTGAACCTGCTCGCACTGACAGACAATTCTGGTTTGGTTCTTGGTCGAGGTGCTTTTCGCGGTTCCGAGGTGAATAACTTGGCGGCGAGAAATTGTAAGTTACAAGATGTGGATTATGAGACCATCGCCGAGGCAAAACCAAAGCAGCTCGGGCTTTCGCACAACCAGATAACCTGGTTGGATCCGCGATTTGAGAGACTGATTAGGCCATGGACCTCATCGACAGAATCATCCCCTGTTAACTTAGACGACTGGGGTTCCATTGACCTGACAGACAACCCATTAAGTTGTAACTGTCAACTGTTCTGGCTATCGAGGCTACTCGAGGAACAACTATATGCCCACCAACACGAAACAACAAACAAGATAGATAACCGTGCGAAAGTCAAACCTGACCCCATAACCACCACAATTGAACGTCCATCTACATCAGGTACGAAGCGAATGTACCAACTCAACCTGACCTGTGGCAGTCCACCAGAGTTGCTCGGGAAACCACTGCCCCAGAGCTGGAGGCTTTATTGTCCGAATCCGAAGATTGTGGGAATAGATATTAGCTTGTTGACAAACCAAGCGGATCATGCCCAACTCACGTGCATTGGGCAGGGACAACCAGCCCCTAGTCTAGCGTGGACGTACCGTATAAACGGACACAAGCTTCAAAAGACACTGGACGCCGTCACACAATATACACCGAACCAAAGTCCATCCCACTATCCTCACAGCGAGCACCGTATGTACGGTACAGCCGAAACCCCTAACCCCACCAGACTATTTGAAAGAAGCATTGCACTGAACGTCAGCCTGAAAGAACCAGTAGCAAAGAATTTCACATGTACAGTTTGGAACGATGACAGCCCACGAACACGTAGCCCCGGTCATGTATTCGACGCCATTGATCGCCTCGGTTCCAACGGCATGCAGGTACCAAGTCAAGACATCGGTGAAGTGATGTCCAATCTTAGAGTGCATGAAGTGGTTGTGCGTATCCACGGACCGTCGAAATTCTCTCCCATTACCGTCATCGACCCCTATACCGTGCAAGATACCTCAGTGGCAGCCACAGTACATAATCGATCGACTAGTGAGCTCATACCTGTGGCAGCTGAATCAACACTTGGTGTTAGCACTACAGCGGGGGCTTACGAGTACCTGTTCACTGAACGATTTTCTTTACTCCAGTTGTTAGGCGCTGTATTTGGCACTTTCATTGTCACGCTAGCTTTGCTTTACTCTGTCACACACTTTCTACATTGCTTCTGTCAGTTCCCTCAGTTTCCGGTAAAGGACTTTCATAGGAGTTCGCAAGACAGTAAGACAAAGAAAGGCTGGTTCAATCTGTCGACTAACAAAGAAGCAGTTACACTACTAAATTCTGGACACTCACATACCGTAGCTGAACGTTCCATCCTACATGACACTAATTTTAGTAAGACGCTGAACTGTGATTCAGCTTTTTCACTCTTGACTTCAGGAACCAACGGCCTCAGCACAACACCCGGGCCATCCACTATACCCGTACGAAGACATCCCATACCACAAGCGCTTTTGTTGACCAATGTTCCAGCTCCACCGGTGGATCGTAATTCCGTGACACCACCCCCGAATCCGGCGTACTGGCCAATGCCCGAATACACATATAGCGGGACAGGTAGTCACGAATATGACGTACCACGACCACTTGAACCACTAGTGGGTAACGCCTCTCTGCTCAGACCCACAGTGCCAAACGGTGCTACAGCCTTCCAAGGGGCCGCTCAGTCTTTTCTCAGTCTATCGGTCCCTTCAACTGTGAATGGATCTGACAGTATAGTAAAACACAATCCGGTTGTGATGCAGCCAACAGATACACTGTCCACTATGCACAACCCGTGGTTGCCAAATATCCATCCAGGATCTGCACTCAATTCGATTTTCTCTTGGGGGCAAGCAGGAGGAACTGGTACAGTGGGGTTACAGGCAGTTCAAGAAAGGCAACTACCGAGCGTTAGCTACACTCAGTATCCCTCCTCACAGTCCATTGTATACACCGGAGATTATCCTACTTACTTGCAAACCAGACCCTACCCACATCATCAGCAGCAAATACAACCACTACTAGAAATGATGACCAACTCACACCGTTTCTCTGGAGTTGCCGGAAGATCTGTAGATCACGGAACTTCACGGAATTTCGCGCAAACACAAGAAACCTTCCCAACGAGTGAGAGTCATACTGCAGAGACAAACTCATCCAGAACAGGTTCAACTTCTTAGCTGAATGCAGGACTGAAGACCCATAATTCTTCACCCGAAAACTGCAAGATTCAAGATTGGGGTCATTATTGTACAATCATGCTTTTATATAACTGTTGATTTGTATCCACAACAGTGAGACTGCAGGGTAGATATACATTCGATCGATTCTCCCCTCGTTAAACTCATGCATGCGCACGTTCGTCTGGCTACGCGGAGTTTTATCTCTAGAAATGCACTGACCTGTTCCAGGAATGGTGATTCTTCCAACACCCGTAACAGATCGTGTACAACCGGCTATGGAATCCAACATCTTTCCAGCACTTACCCAGTCTTTCTAGGATTTCAGCCGTTTGTGCTGAAATACATACCAGCTTGCCTACTGATTGCTTTTCAGTAGACAAATAATTTCGGCGATTTGTCGCCCTGCTCACTGCCCAGTAAGTGTATCCACCTCTACCATGCTCACTAATTTGATGGCAATCTTTACAAGCCAGTTACATTGCATTTGAGATATTATACGGGTGTTTTGCCTCGGAATCCGTAAAGAATGTTATACAGATATTCTGTTGTTGTGATTTCGGTTAATAATTGGATAGTTAGGTTTGAAAACAAGAAGTGTCAACATAACAAATTAAATAGGTGATGCCTATGTTTGGATGAGCATCCAACAGAAGCAGGAGCAATATAAAATACCAGGACATAGACAGCGGACATGGACAAAAAAGCACCATATCAACAATTCCGATCCTTAGATGATCCTAACAAGTTTCCAGGCAGTGGGTCACGCGTAGCCGAAATCGTCGAACACAGCTACAGAGAATTTCATGGAATCTCTTCTTAGTTAATTGTACTCCGGTGCAATCATGTATGTAAAGAGGTTACCGTTTGGTAAGATCATCGGCTACGGAGTAAATCGATCTGCACTTTACAGAGGAACAGCAATTAATGTCCATAATCCTCCCAAAAGATCCTCCTTGAGTGGGCCGAGTGTTGTTCTCCGTGCCTTCTTCAGAATTGCGCAAACCGCATGACATGGCAGAAGGGAGTGAAGGAGATCACGAAGAGTTTATGCTGTTTATGTTGTGCGCCTTCCAGGATGGGGTCCCCATGACACCACCTGTGCTTGACTGCTTGAAATAGATCAGCACTAGGTCCTCTTCATCACTCACTCTCTCTTCCTTTCACTATAGGGTTTTAAATATCATAAGACGAACCTCATGGTTGTACGGCAGTGAAGCACCAGTGTGAACCTCGACGTTGCTTTGATGATGATGATGATGATGGACCGAGCCATTCTGCGGTTGCGAGTGCTACATTTGCAAGCCCTGAACCTGCCGCCGCACCAGTAGCCGGGCCTGCATTGTCTGCTGTGTGGTCATACCACCCAGTCGGATCACAAGGCCTGAAAAAACACAGGCTAGCAATCGACCATCGGCTTTGGATGAAAAGTTCCGAGTTGGATAACAGACCAGCTGCATATTTACGCTGGGGCATGGTGGCCTCGCGCCACAACAACAGCGCCAGTGTTCAAATTACCGTCTAATCGTATCCGTTTCCCGTGACAACGCAGATTCCCCGTCTCCACTACGCATCGTAGGGGTTTAAGTGATACAAAGGTGGTGACTCACATTGTCCTGTTCATAACTTCAGTACATTACCTAGTTCAAACAATTTTACTTCTTTGTAAGGTGCTGGATATGCTGACTCGAATGACCTTCGAATTTTTCCCCAAGGAATGTTTCAGATGAGACGTAGTCAAATTGCATTGCTACGATTGCAGTGGAATTGACTTTGTTCTGTTCGTTCGTTCGTTCAAAGACACACTGATCTGATGAGAGTAGGCACGCTGATTAGGTCGCCTCACTTATAAATGGTGCCAAAATAAACCAAATCCGACCAATTTTCCACCGACATTCAGATAAGCAAGACACTGAGATAACCCATTTATCAGTAAACGCGTCGAAACCGACAGAAGACCATCAACAGAAGCGACATCAGCACCTGTGAAGCATCCGAAACTGGGGCTGGCTTGGAAGTAACAAAAACAAGGCGATTGTTGTAGACGTAGGCGGATCTGATAGCACTCCAATACCTAGGATTATCCTGACGAGACTACAAAATCAAACCGATCTTAACAAGAATCTATCGCGGGTGCGCATTAGTTCAATTCGCTCGTGTTTCTAAGGCACAGGTGTGGTAGGTGTTGCAATGGGTGAATATCGATAGTGTACTAGAGTAGGGATATAAACGTTATAAAGACGCTTCTCGCTCGGAGCTAGCCCGGTCCATCCTTCATGGGCTCAACACGGTCCTCAAGGAATGGCCTGAACATCCCCAGGCTCCACAGTTCGGATGAAAAGTAGGCAGCTAGTGTTACTGATTGAAGCTAGCACTTCTTACCCCTGAGAATTTCCAGAGTTTGAGTGAACCATGCGGTGTGACTGTATTCCCAGCGTTCACTCTATAACACGTGGGAGTCGTTGGGAAAGTATACATACGTTATGGCATTAGTACTAGGTAAAATATTTGAATTAACAAGGACGCTTGTGTCACCGCTCTACAAAATGTAACTGATCTCAGTATGAATATACCAGTGACAGTTCAAAGAAGGATAAGCCAATCCAGCGCCCACTTAATGATGCTGATACTCCATAGGGCTGGTTCATACGAGCCCACTGCTCGCTCGGAACAAGAGGATGCTCATGTGAACTTTGAGCCTCTACCATTGTCACCAATTTTCGAGCTACCTACTTCACGTTACTTTACACGTTACCAAGGTGGGTTACGTAAGTGTGAGTACACGACAAACACAATGAGGGGGACCAGCTCCGAAAGGTGGGTTACGTAAGTGTGAGTACACGAAAACACAATGATGGGGACAAGCTCCGAGAGGCTGGATAGTAATCTCTTCAAAAGGGACTCATCCAGATACAGACTGGTCCTCCTTGACAATCAAGAGAAATGTTCCCGGAAAGCACAAGAAGTGACAAGTCCTCGAAAAAAGCAGCGAAATGCCCCCCACTGCCTGTGGTGGTCTCCGTTCCAAGGGATTAGTCTTGTCGGCTCCTTCTGAGAATGACCTCTCTTTGGTGTGACTACCAACTGGACTTTAGGTTTACGTAAGAGTCGGTTGTGGTAAGGAGTGGCCTTACTTGGTACGGGCCTCTTCCGGGGACAATGACTAGTGCCCCGATGATTGGGGAGGTTAGCACCAAATCCTGATGCGGTCAATCACCGATTAATATAGCAGGGAAAACAAGTCAAGTGTCATATCAAGAAGAAATGGAATGATGAAAAACCACGTGGTCAAAAACATGGTCATAGTAATGTGAGTAAACATAACTTCTGCAACAGGCGCAGAAACGATGGACAATCACAGATTCGAAAGACAGTGGAGACGACATTAGTTAGGGAGGCCTGTAGACAATGCATCACCTAAATAAAAGCGAGCAGATAGATATTCATGCGTCTAGTGCAGTCATCAATCGACGTTGGCAAAGACAGTATTATCACAATACAACCAGTAAAATAAGGATGACAAACAGAGTGACGGAAAGACAACCGATAGCCCACCATTGTCTTCGACTAGTGCTCAAATGCAACAGGCGCGCGGTGCGCTTCGTGACCGCATCTAGTTTTGTTTCTGTATGGGTCATTTCATTGGAAAAGTCATCCAACAGGGCAACCTGATCTTCGAGCTCGTCCCCTATTCGACGAGACATGCCCTTCAAAGTGGAAATGCTCGCTCCGATCTGATCGATTCTTTCATCCTGTTGACGTAGTAAATGTTTCTGTTCTGTGAGAGGGTCACTAGGAACAGGAAATGCGATTGGTCGGGTGTCCGTTGTCCGGAGAGGTTGACTGACAGGGTCTCTGAAAAAAGTGAAATTCAGCACATAACGGTTGTTACAGACCAACGCGCAACAGTCAGGTATCGGGTGCTCATTTTGAAACAAATAACCTAATACTGCAGTGGGCGTGTTGTTCAGCGTAAATTAATAAAATGGTCCACAAGAATGGACCAATGACGGCAGTGCCAGTACACAACCCGGGAAATTCCTGATCAAGAAATCCCAACATGATACCAATCTTCGCTCATTGGTGTCTGCAGAGATCGCTCTGAGCTTGCAGTATCATCAGTTTTACCAGTGAGACATCACCGCAGGTGGAGAAATGTGAACTACAGATCTAAGGTGTGGAACCTAAACACACCTTGTGAAATCAGCTCCTGAGATACAGTGGCCGAACGCCTATATGAACAGCCTGTTTTATCGCTCGCTGTGAATATCGCACGTTGCACGGAATTTTCAGAAGTCACATTCAGGTTTTCTTCACGGAACCGCTACTTTTCGGCCAAATGAACACATTGTGCTCGTCAACATTACGCTATCTATTTGCCTCGCAAGTTTGTCCCAGAGAACTGTTTTTCGTGCAGCCATGGTGATCTCATGGTAACAACAACTACTGAGGCATTCCGAGTTTTTCATAGAAAATAAAACATAAAATAAAAATAAAATAAGTAAACAAAATAAGTAAAATGAAATATAAAATAAAAATAAAATAAATAAATAAAATAAGTAAAATAAAATAAATACAAGAGCACTGGAAAGATTGGTTCCAAGATTGAAGTATTGGAACCACATCTACAACCCTGTAGGTCCAGGTCTCTCCCACTCAGGTGTTCACTAAAATTAAAGAAAGGCAAGTAAGTCATGGGTTACCAAAAAACTATCAGGTGAGCGCCCCACAGGGTGATGTAACATATCCTGAATCACACTCGTTTGTGGGCCCCCCAGAAGAACAGCACAGAAACGATTGTCAACCGATATCCAGCCTTCATCAATCAGTCAACGCCGACACCCTTAGTGATTCCCAGAAACCTATTTGCTGCAGTTTTCTTATGAGGAATTTTTTATACCGAACTACAATCTATTCACTGCCGTTCGAAACGAGGGTAACGATTGTGTCCAATCATACTCCAAAAGTGTAAAAAATCAATCGAAAACTCACCTATTTGGACCTGAGCCGTTAGTTAATGGCCGGGCAATTGTAACTTTAAACGAAATAGAAGAACCATTGGCTTCGCGTTTTCCAGCATCTTGTAACTGAGATTTAACGGAGTTAACTATGTCACGAGTTTCGCGCAAAAATTGACGTCTTGCAGCAACATCCTTTTCAGATAGCTGGAAACGCGATGGATTGCCTTCCACTATGCTCACAGTTTCCTGCAGATGCAAAAGAGGAAGTTAGCGCACTGACCGAAAGAAACGGGGCTGAAAATCATCTAGGATAGTGCGGAAAAATGGATCCGTGTTTAAAGAACGTGATTTCCAAAAAGCCACGTCCTGAGTACAAGTTTCGGATCCCACACTGCATTAGTTCTACATATAAATGCGGCAGATTACGTAGTGCTGAGAAAGTAGGATCCTCATCCGACTAACTTTTTTCTAACACAACGAGTATTTAATACGGAGCTTACCACGCCAATATATGTTAACAAGCTGACAAGCAGTGCCTTAGCTACAAGCTGCAGTTCCCTCTTAAAACTGATTATTCGCTGAAGGCAATGCGTTGCACTAGTCCGGTGGTTTCGTGGAAGATGACCGCACTATAAAGAAAATACGGGTAGAGTTGTTTCTTCCATGTTGGAAATAACCAGTAACGGGCAACCCACGAATCCTCAATGAAGTAGTCACCACAAAGAGGAAATTCGGGATCCATATCATAACAGATGGGGTTCTTATGCTGGTGAATCCATAATGAAGAAATGGTGGTCGATTTGCGAACGAAGATAAAAGAATTCCTAATGGTTCCAGGTGGAAAGGGTTGACTATAAGCCTGATTGTCCAGTTGAGTCATGGATAACTTATCCATATTGTGCACAACGTCCAGCAATAAATGATACAGCACCACTATCCTCAGTTGAATAGATCCGGATTCCGGCGTTTACTGGCTCTTCAGAAGACGGCACAACGTCCAGCAATAAATGATACAGCATCACCATCCTATTCCGGTGTTTACTGGCTCTTCAGAAGACCTGCATTAATTTGTTAGGTTTTCTCAGACTCAGGAAATTATCGACTAAGAAAGTTTGACCGAAGATCACATCAAAGGCTGCGAAACTTTAAGAAAAGAAGAGCACGAACACCCACAGAAAAATTTTAAATCCTCCCACATCCGTTGAACTCATTCGGATGTTGGCCGTTACCTATTGAATTTCTAACGTGAGGACATGGGCAGCGTAGATCGTATTGATGTTCGTGAATATGTTCGACATGTCGGGCAATTCGGTTGGGCCCTCATAATACAACAACGATGTCACCTCGGTATGCAACAGTATGTAACACAATCTCACAAGCAACAATGGCTCTAACTGAAATATCTAGTCTTCTGCGTCAAAACATGAACTTGCT